TGATGGTTATTTTAAACCTTTTACTTGATTTTTAAGATTTTTTTTTTTTTTTTTTTACTCTCCCCCTATCTATTCTTTCTTGAAGTCCTGGAGCTCATTAAGGTTTTAATGCTGAGACACACAGCTGAGATATTAAGTTTAAAGTCCAAACCTTTCTGAAGAAGTCAGCAGTTTTTCCCAAAGTCATAAAATCTTCACCATGTAAATTGTACTGCGTTTTTTTTTTTTTTTTTTTCCAGCCCTAAAATATTAGTCTTGTGGTTCATTGGGTAAGCACAGAGCTCACGTTGTGTCAATGGATACCCACTGAGTGTTGTCATGGCTCCCAAAGTCTGGCCTTTAAAAAATGTTGGAGGAAGGGCAACGACTTGAAATGTTTGCGTACTTGTTATTCAGGAGAAATGTCCACATCAAATGAGATTTTGAGGACTGTTTAGTTTTTGTTGGATCCAGACAGAAAAAGCAATCGTTCAGAGACATACATCTGTTTTTTCCCTCCGATTGTTCTGTGCTGTAGCTGCTTTGAATAGTTTTAGCATAAAGGTTTGCCTATTCATGACTTTTACTTGCTCCATCTGTAGCTCTAAAACATCCCAATAATTCTCATAACTTGATATCAGATGTCCTTCATAACATATAATCAGAAACAAATGCTTAAGGAATATGTTTTAAAGACTATCAGATTGAATGTAATGATTACTGTCCCTTTATGACTATCTATTTTTGCATGTTATATTGTAGAGGTCCTAAACGTATAGGGCCTGCTCCTTATATAAAAAAGCGATTCCGGAATTGCTCCAGTTCTGATGGTGACCAATTAGACTGGAAAGTGTGCATAAAACATCAAATGAACTCTGTACAGGACTCTTTTCTTCTGAAAAGCACATAACCTCTATACAAGTGTTGTACATCTTGTTGTTGAATCATCAGTATGTGCCTCATTTTCACTGTGTGTGCTGTTGCTTTTACACTATATTAGGTATTTTCTCCAAACCTATAAGACCTGATGAATATTATTTACTAGTATATTTGCAAAAAAAAAAAAAAGGACACAAGTGTGTTGCTGGAGAATTTATTTTTCAAATGACGACTGAAATAAAATTACCTGCTTTTATTTGAATATTTTCTACTACAGAGTTTTATTTTTGTTTGTTTCTCTTCAATGCTGCACAGGACAAAATTGTAGACCTACAGAGATCCCAATCAGGACTTTTAGTTTCTTGCGTCATACTCATTTAATTATGGACATTTGACAGTGAAATTCCCAAAGCTCTGAATTTCATCTGCTCATTGTTTACTATTGTTCCATGTAAATCAGTGATGTTCATGGAACTGCATTGGTAGGTTGTCTTGACAGCAGTAACTCAAGTCTCTGCAGGATGACTTCTGTTTCAGTAGGTGCCTCCAAAGCGACACATTCAACAGTATTTATTTTTATTTTCATAAAATCTGTGTGGAATTAATTGCCTTTACTCCTTAGTAGATTGACCGGAATAGCAACTGGATCAGCATTGAGGACTGTGAATATGATGTGCCTGCTCTACCACTGAGCATGTGGAACCCCATTTACATTATTATTATTATTTTTTTAAAAGAAATTCATGATTTCCTTCTGCTGCCGATGTCTCCAGTTGCCTGAAGTGCTACGCTGAATGACTCCTAATGATTTGGCTCATACCATATTTTAATGGTAGCCCAGTTAATGTGTGGACAAATCCAACAAAGAAAACTGTTCTCTTACTTCATAAACGTGGCACTGGCAGGGTTTCCCCCAGACTACCTGCTACGCCTGGTGTAGGAGCGCTTGGGCAGTCCACTAACAGCTCATCGTGTTTTTCTGGTGAAAAATATTGAAAGTTACAAAACATTTGGAGGCATGATAAAGTGAAATAATAGCATGAAGGAAAAGCACAATTCAATGTGTCAACTATAAACCCTCGCTTAATCTGTCTTTACTGTCACTGCTACTAGTATACAAGTAAAGATTTCGGTCAAGACGCAACACCACCAGGCTTTTAATACACCGAGGGAAACCCTGACATTCTGTGTCCAGATTAATCAAAATACCTCGTAATCATCATAAAAAATATATTCTTTATTCTTCTGGCTATATTCAGATCTGCAATTATGCTTCAGTATTTCCACAGACTTCCACCTGAACAGGTGCTTCTCCTGTCAGCAATGTTGTTGACATATTTAGCAAGTTTCCAAAGGCCTCTCCTGACTTTTTTTGTGACTTTTGACAATTCTGCAGCTTTTTCTGGTGATGTAAATTCTTTGGAGACTTGGGGAAGAACATGCTGTTTTTGCTCAGCTCAACAATCAGTGGGTTCTGTCGTGGGCTTCTCCCCCAACCCGCAGGTCTCCATGATGCCTGGCTGCTCCAGTCCATCACCAGCTGGAGCCATACCTCCTCATCTTGGCAGGGAGTAAATATGATATTCTTTATGTGACTTAAATTGCTAAACTAAAAGGTAAATCACTGAATTTGTTGCTTTTGTCAACAATTTTTGTCTATCCAGGTGGTCAATGTTGGTTGCATACCTAAATGAAAAACTATTTTTTTGTATTTAGTAATCATGATTTAAGCCTGAAGTCAGTTCATTATTATTTTACATATTGTTTTTCCTAACCAAGTAGCCCTATTTAGCATTTGAAGGGAAATAAACTTAACTACTGTTTCATCTGCTCCCTGTGCAGACAGATATAGGCCAGTCTGCAGAAGCAGGTCACATGACACTGAAGGGCAGGATGGTGCAGCAGCCAACACACTCTCTGTTTGCTGGGAATGTCATTGTAAAGAGCAAAAACAATACAATCCAGTAATAAAAGCTTTGCAGCCCATTAATGGCAAGTGATTAAAAAAAGAAAAGAAAACTTGGTCAAGAAGAGTGTGGCTGAAATGAAGTCCCAAACAAAACAGGTGTCAGAAGCAGAGTTTAGTTCAGGTAAATTGAAAACGCTGCAATGAGGATGGATGCAGCACTTAATATTTTAGAAGCTGTGAAAGATCTTTACCGAAAGGGGAGAGTCCAGTACTCTACTCATGTGAATAGTAATCCATTAAAATCCATTTTGTTTCTCATGATAGCGATTATCACACACTGATAGTGCTGCACAAATGCATGTGTGTTGGAAAGAGGATTACATTTGGCTTTCAAAGCCTTTAAGTCAGGGGTGTCCAAACTTTTTGCAAAGGGGGCCAGATTTGGTGTGTTAAAAATATAGGGGGGCCAACCTTGGCGGACGTTCTTTACATATAACAGCAATTAATTTAAATACATTTCAGCGAGCTGTTGTGTGTTTCACATTTGCTTTTTTATTTTAATTTCAGCCATCTTAAGCATATGTTTTGGTTCATTTGAAACATACATATCAAAATTCAATTGACATTGAAAATTGAAATTAAATATTCATTTAACTTCACTTTTTTAACACTAACTTTTTTGTAATAGTTGAAGAGAAGTAATTGTACTCTTGGGTGCAAATTACATTTGAAACATTAAAAATAATCTCAAAATGGGAGTTTAATATTTACAGAATTTTTAAACACAATAACAGAGAAATTGTCATATCAACAAGTGCAGGGCTCATTTAAAATATGACAGTAACTATAAATGTTGATTAGCACACCTCTCTCTCGCTTGGCGACCCGGGGACAGGACGCTGCGCACTAGTGAAACGGTGAAAGGTTTGCAATGCTTTGCGATCAGCGCTGCTACCTCGTAACTAGCCTTTGTAGCATTCTCGTTTGACTCTCGAGCTTTTGTAAAATATTGCTGCTGTGAGATTAAGCTAGCTTCAAGGGTTTCAGTTTCTCTCTGCGTTCATTACCTGTGATCTTGTCATATGCCTCAGCATGTTTAGTTTGATAATGTCGCTTCAAAACAGCCACTGTCTCTTTACAAATGAGGCAAACACAGTTGTTATGTATTTCAATGAAGAAATAGTCCAATTTCCACCCATCCTTGAACCGTCGGCCCTCGCTGTCAACTTTCCTCCTTTTGCTAATTGCCGCCATTTTAGAAAATTGGGGGGCCTCACATACTAATTTGCTGTTCCTATTTGAGCCTCTAGATGTCAGCACTTAGAACACGCAAGTAATGTATTACACGCGGGCCAGGCGTTATTGATTCTATGACGGAGGCTGCGGGCCGGATGAAAATTGACCACGAGCCGCATTTGGCCCCCGGGCCGGACTTTGGACATGTCTGCTTTAAGTATTACATTTCTAAAATATTTAAACACTTTAAATGCGCATTGTGAATCTGAATCTGATGCATGACGTATCTTATGACAGTGACAGTTCTGCCAGCTTTATGCTGTAAATCTTCTCAGTGGAGCAGAGAGTTCGGGTTTCGGTTTGTCGGTAGTTCTCAGCAGCGAGGCGAGGAGGTCAGCACCAGATGAAAAGGCTTCATTGTTTTCCCAGAAGACTGTGAACACACAGGATGAGGTCATCGGGACCACAGCCTGCTTGTTCTTCTCTGACGGTGATGATGGTGATGATGATGGCGCCCCTCATTGGATTACATTTGACTTGGCTTCTCCTGGTTCTTTTCTTCTCCCACTGAAGGAAAAAAAGAAATAAAAAACACTTGGCGTCTGAAGTTTTAATAATGTTTGCTGATGGCTTTTGCTCTCTGATTTACAAATCAAACTGGTTTGGAATGTTATTTTTGTTTTGTTTTTTGTTGTTCCAAGTAATACATTTTCCAGACTATTAACATTTTACACAATGTGCAGAAGTATTCTGCTGTTTAATGTGTACTGACATGTTGCAACATGCTTACTTGCCCATCTTTCTAGATTATGCAAAAAATGTAAACTTACGCCAATGTTGCAGACAATTTTTTTGGATAAATGATCACCGTTTTCAGTAACAAAGTTCCTGGCATCAGTCTTTGGCTGTGATTTGGGCTCAATTGTGTTGCTGATTTCACCAGTGTGTGCAGCTGATGGACAGCTGTCCATGTCCCCCTGTGTGTGTTGATGTCCAGGTTTACGAGAGCAAACTGCAGGAGCTCCAGAAGCAGGTGGAGACGCGCTCTCTGGTCGCAGAGACGCCCGATGAGGCAGAGCTGGAGGAGGAAGAAGAGGAGGAAGGTGTGTACTAAGATGATGTTTCTTTTGCTGCATTCGCCATGAATGAAAAGTATATAAATAAATGAGCTGTGTGTTTTCTTCCACATTCTGTGTCCAGAGCTTAAATTACTGGGATGTGCGTATATAATTTTTCTATAGTCATTTTTTCTTCTGACATATTAATAGTCATTTTAATTACCCACCCAAGGTACTAATTGAAATCAGACTATAGATCCATAAATCTAATCCAACATAACGGTTAACTAGATGTTTAAATGACCGTACTGTTTTAATGTTTCAGCCCATCAGCTACAAATTGTCTTAAAAAGTCAGACAACTGTAGTTCCTCCTGATTTCATTTTCCATTTATAACACCTTACTTAAAGCTTCTGCTTGAAGTTTTCAGTCCAGCTGCTGTTGGTGAGTTGACGCTTTTAGAAATTGTGTGGAGCTGAATTGGAAAAATAGTCTAGTTTGGATTTCAGAACGGTCTTACTGTCTCTGCACAGTCATTTCTTGCAGAAAATTTGCCTTCAGGATTCCACATTATGAATAATGTCAATTTGCTTCCATTAATTTAACATTCTTTGAACCCGTGGAGAAGTTTAAACAATCCAAACTGTTCTGTAAAAATGTTTCAAAATTTTTTTCCCTGGTTTAATTTGCCTTCAAAATGCCTGTGAGCATTATGTTAATGTCACCTCTGCTTGGTGTATTTTCCACAGTGCCGTGGACACAGCATGAGTTTGAGCTGGCTCAGTGGGCCTTCAGGAAGTGGAGGTACCATCAGTTCACCTCCCTGCGTGACCAGCTGTGGGGGAACGCCGTGTACCTGAAGGAGGCCAACGCCATCAGTGTGGAGCTGAAGAAAAAAGTGAGAGAAATCATGGTGCTGTTAACGTTGTTACGATCAATATAACAATGTGTGTGATACTGCAGTAACAGTGGACTGGTCTGATGCAATATTTGGTAATGCAATCCCGCTCTGCAGGCCAATTATGAGACATTTGGGTAAACTTTGATTCTTCAAATAAATAAACGTAAACTACGTCCAAGAGGCCAAAAGCTGATGGAGAATGGTGATGAAATCACAATGACATACAAGACGAGACTGAGCAAAATGTGGACGAATTGCATCTGCTGGAGTTGAAATGCAGAAAATGTATGATGTAAATTAGTTTTTTTCATTTAAAGTCGGGTCTTTTCCTGGGTTCTCTTTTTTGGTATATTTCTGAAATGTTCTGGAAATTGTTTCCGAAAAATAAATATGACATGTACATCATCCTTGATGAGTGGAGCTGTTGGGTAATTTATGGTTTGTATTACCTTGACCTTTTCTCAGTGGATCAAAGTCAGAACTTTAATTGGATCAGAGAGTTTCTGGGATTATCCAGTTAAAATACAGCCTGTGGCCTGTTCTTAATACTAATTGCATGATCAGGCAAAATGGATAAATACTTTTAGATGGGCAGTTTTAGTCTAAATCAGTTTTGTGATAATTTTGGATTGAATTGAATTGGACTGAATTAGACTGGTTTGTATTATGAGAATAATACACCCTAAATTTTTAATTTAGGGTGTTTTTGGGTGGCATCCATCTTTCATTCTTGCAGATTTTAAATGATCCTCTAATAGTTTGTGTGACTAGAAATGAGACTTGGCACAATCTGCCGACTAGATTTCTAAACACAAACGTGTGTGTGTGACGTTTTCAGGCAATGCTGGGCATCATGAGGGAAACCAAAAGCATCCGCTTATGTTCAGAAGTTTAACAGTTTTTGGCAGACACAACAGAAAGCTGAGTCCAAAGTACACATGATAACTCTGGTGGACTTTGATATTATTTAGCTGAAACGTTGCATCTCTCACACAGGTTTTCATCTGTGAGAGGCATCCTTTACAATAAAGGATGTGACATTTTAATGTTATGTTGACTGAATGTGGTGGAGAAAAAAATGTGCTCTAGTCTGACTTTCAAATCATCCAGAATGCAGCATTGATCCACTGTCACATAGACAAATGGAAGAGGGAGCAAATCTAAAGCTGGTTCACTGTAGTTTTCCTTCCACCGGGAAGGGATTTACACTCCACATAAACGGCAAGATGCTACAAGAAAGTCACTTTCAACAGAATTTCTTTTCACTGGGTTTTCATCTTGCATTTTCAATCTCTGGATGTTTTAAAGTCACGTTTTGATAATAGTTTGAGGCTGGAGTCCTTTCTAAATTCTCCCTCTTCCTCAGGTCCAGTTCCAGTTCGTCCTGCTGACAGACACGCTGTACTCTCCGCTGCCCCCTGAGCTCCTGCCCCCAGAGCCGGAGAAGGAACGTGACCCGAGACCCTTCCCTCGCACCGTGGTGGCTGTCGAGGTTCAGGACTTGAAGAATGGAGCTACACACTACTGGTCCCTGGAAAAACTCAAGTAAGAATTACCTTAATTTGTACACACATGAGTTTAGTTGGACTATGCGATGTCTTCTATTACAATTGTTGCAAACTGTTCGATTATTGCTCTGACTCTAGATATAGGCATCTGTAGTAGGAATTTCAAAAATGTGAAGGAAATCATTTTATACAGTATCTTAAGAATCAATTGTTTTGAATTTTTTGTCTTTTTTTAAAATCTCTACAGAGAAAATAGTCAAATTCAAATCATCTGAACATCATCAGTTTTTCTCCCCCTCCGGTTATTTTTAATGAGCTGTAAATTCCCGTCCTGCATCCATTAATCCTGAGTGCATGTGGTCATTTACAGGCAGAGGCTGGAGCAGATGAGGGAAATGTACGACCGCGCTGGAGAAATGGCCTCCGCTCACCAGGACAGCGACGGAGAGGGAGCTCTGACAGGAAACGATCCGTTCTACGACCGTTTCCACTGGTTTAAGCTCGTGGGGAGGTATGTAGCCGAATATGAACACTACACATTTCAACTAAATAGTTTTGGTTTTTGCTTTTTTTGTGTGTGCTTTTGTAACAAATTTGTTAAACAGTTCCAGGGAAGGGTTGGTTACCTGTTTCAGGGTATTTAAGCTGGCTTAAAAAATGTGGCTACATTTTTCATTGTTTACACTTTTTAAGAAGAGCAATTAGTTTGTTATTCATTTGTAGTTAAGTTTTTGTTTTAAAATGGTATTATTTACCAAAGCTGTACTGACGCTGTTAGGATTTCTTCATGCATTTTATTTTTCATTGCCATCACTTCTCATTGGAGATTCATGTATCAGTCATATCACATGTTCCCCACATCATGTTTTGTCATTTACACCAGATGATGTTTTGTTCATTATTTAAATTTGTTTGTCCCTTTTATTTGTTTTTGTGATTTTTTATTTTATTTTATTTCATTTGAATGTGTATTTATTTTATTTCACATCACATTTTGAGTTTTTGTGACCATTTGTTATGTTCCCTTTATTTCTGCTTCAATTTGTGTCGTCATTCGTTGCCATGCTCTTCCTGATGTGTTCTGTAATTTATGTTAACATGGAGTTTGGATGAGGTGGGAATGTTGCCGTTTTGTGTTTTATCCTCTTTCGACGGCGTATGTGAAGAGATTTACATGCTAATCCATTAATGTGCTGTTATTCATGTTGGTTTAAAATACCATTTCTGGTATTTGCTGTGACACCTGCGCTTAGTTTAATGCCGGCTCTTTATGAAATGAATCCTAAACTGATAAGCTTATTTTGTGGCTTTTGCTTTAAATTAATGCTTGTAATTAATACAAGTGAAAAGTGAGGCTTTCTATTTGCCTTTTTATTTATTTGAATTAAAGCAGGGTTCCTACACAATTTGGAACTTAATCTGAGTATTTTTCAGATCTGGATAAATATTTTCACTTGTCATATTTTGTCTCTTTCCATCCTGTTAATTTATTTTTTGAAGATTCCCCATTTGAATCCACTTTTGAAATATTTCTTACAAAGTTATAGTAAGCTTTAGGATTTTATGTTTTGCAAAGGACTGAGATCTCTGGAGAGTTAAGTCTCCAGAAGTCTAAAATAGATTCTATGAAAAATGTCTAGGAACCCTGAAAACTTTGAAAAACAGCAAGAATTTTTAAAAATGAAATGAGATCACTGATGCCTCACAAAGCTTCTGAAGGTATTTTTTGTTTGACTCTTCTTTGACTCGACTGTGACCCTCGCCGCCGTTCCCAAACCTTCGCTCCCCCAGCAGCTCTCCCATCTTCAACGGCTGCGTCAACGAGCACCTGGCCGACCGAACGCCCTCGCCCACGTTCTCCACCTCCGACTCGGAGATCACCGAGCTGGCGGACGAGCGCCAGAGCGAGATGTCGGACTTCATAGATGACGAGGCGTTTGTGGACGACACGAGCTCTGATGCGGGCACCGAAGAGGGCTCGGACATCTTCAGCGACGGGCAGGACCCCTTCTATGACCGCTCCCCCTGGTTCATCCTGGTGGGAAGGTCGGTGACCTGGGCATTTCCTCTTCCTCTGCACACGGAGGCTGGGACAGGAGAGCTGTTGTTGGCTTGTTTTACTTTAGTTGACTGCAGTGAAGAGTAGCTGAAGTATCAAAGATAAGAGTATAATTAAAAATAATTAATTTGAAGAAACGGAGGCACATAAAATAGTATTTGTTTTTTTTTCTCAGACTCAGAGAAGTATTTTGTTTAATTTAACATAATTCATCATCCTTCTGTGCTCTGAGGTCGGCTGTTGAAAATCTACTTTTAATTTGGACTCTGTTCCTAAGAACGATGAAAAGCCAGCATCACCTCCTGCCGTCATCCTCCTGTGAGATGTCTCATCTTCCACCACCACACTCTGCTGACTGCATTAACTCCCATCTGTCTGTTAAAACAGCCTGTTTGTTCTGATTAAGCAAACTAAGTACTTGTCCTTTTTGTTGGCTTTTTCAGTTTTTACACTTGGATTGTTTTCATTTTGATTTGTTTTGGGGGGTTTTTCTTTTTGTTTGTTTGTGTTTGAAATCATTTTATTTCGGAAATGTATAAACTCAGACTTTTATCATTTGACCGATTGGGGAAAACAATTTATCATATACTTTCTTTAGTGGGTGTGTTTAGCAGTTGAAATAAAAACAAAACAACAAAAAATACCTTTAAAGTAGTCTAAAACCGTTTATAATGATATGAAGGCTAATCCTTCATATGTTTTGTAAAAAAAATTAAAATAATAAAATATATATATAGTTGACTCATGGTTTAGCTGACAGCTGTGCCTAATTTATTATGTATTGGTTGCGTTATCTTGCTTCCAGTGATTCCTGATGATTAAAAAAATTTACTAAGTAACTCTGGAAATTAGAGTGGTTTTCAATATTTAGTTTTGCTCTTTAAAACTGGATATAGTTCATGCATTTGGCCATATAGATGTAAAGAAGCTTATAATTTGCAGGTTTTAAGTAATTAAAATGCATTGAATAGAGTTAGGTTTCATAAACCTGTGAGTGCTGTTAAAATTGCCAAGTTTGTGCCCCTATTTTTGCACCAACATGTTGCCTTTTCATTTTGTATCACTTCATACTCATAGGCTCAAACCAGTGATGATCAGGTGTTTATTATGTAGTTTAGTTTTTTTTTTCAGTAATTTTGGAGGTAAACAGTCATAAGAGTTGAAATCGCTTACCTAATTATATTTAACTTTGTGTTGCCACCTCGTTTACATTTATTTTGGTTCTGTTTGGTTGCTCCTGAAATGTGATCAATTACACCGCGGATCCAATCACAATAACCTGTGGCCCCTTACCTTACACTACTTACTCTAGACTCAATAGATGGTAGAAAATTGTATATATGTACAAATATCCCTGAAGTGGATGTAAACTGATGCATGGTCAGTAAAAAAAACGGCCTGTGGCAGACTAGTCGATTTGCTGCTTTTAATTTCAGAATTAAAAGTAGCAACATAAGTAACTACAGGGTAGCCAAAAATTTACAAAATGGAGAAGCTCCTCTTAAAAACATAATTTAGCAATAAGCAGTGTCGGTGCATCAAAATAAGACAACACATGGGCGCAGGTTGGTCCCTGCATCACTTTGACTATTTTACTGATAAATGTCTTGTGTTTTGGTTTTGGACATTAGTCTTCATCGAAGTGCTACAGGTTGTTTTAGCGTGTAACAAGGATCGCTGCCATTGCAAATCATGTCTCGCGAAACAAAATGTCAATCCACCTTCAGATGCTAAATAAATGCTGCAGTTATTTATGCGTAGCGACTCACAGCTGCAGCGGTTGTTCATTGTTTCTCTTCTCCTTTTTTTTTTGCTCTCAGAGCTTTTGTGTACCTGAGCAACCTGCTGTATCCTGTGCCGCTTGTTCACCGGGTTGCCATAGTTACAGAAAAGGGCGAGGTGCGAGGCTTCCTGCGCGTGGGGGTCCAGGCTATAGCTGGTGAGTAATTAATGAGATCTCTAATGCTCCGGGATCATTACAGCAACTAACAAAATATGTGTAGCTCTAAGTTTGGCTTTGAGATCCTAATGGCAGCATGTGGGAGAGTCCTGAGGGATCTGGCAACGCAGAGATTCCCTCAGATCCTTTAATATATTCCCTTTGATGTGCTTTGACAGTTTAGGTTTGTGACAGATCGGGATAAAAGGAGTGTTTGTTTCTTTTCTAGCTGACGAGGAGGCTCCAGATTACGGCTCCGGGGTTAGACAGTCAGGGACTGCCAAGATCTCCTTTGATGATGAATACTTCAAAAAGGTGAGTCTGAAGTCACATGAAAGCAGTTTGAAACTCAGACACTTTATTTCTATTTTTTTTTTCTCCAAAAATACCAACTTGGTAAAGAAACTTTAGAAACTCAAGCCCTCTCTAGACCAGCTATTTGCTAATGTCTCTGACTTTTATCCATCCAATCAGAATGACTTTCCCTCTACGGTTATGACCCGCTCCGGCTTGTCCCTGGAGGAACTGCGCATTGTGGAGGGTCAGGGTCAGAGCTCAGAGGTCATCACACCCTCTGAGGAGCTCAACAGAATCAACGACATGGGTACGGCCGCCAGACTTTCACCTTTCCGCTCGTAAATTTTCAGCCTCTCTTCCCTTCGCTGGAGAACACGCTCGACAGATGTCCCTGCTGGATCCAAAGTTGAGCTTTGTCGTGTAAATGAGGCGAATGCAGCGTCTTTTATTTGTTGTGTGAGAGGATTTTTACAAAGCTAAGAAAAAGATAAAAATGAGTGAACAGCAAGAATAATGATTAAAGAGGAGCAATTCACACGCCAGCAGCTGTAAGTTTTTTTTTTTTTTTGGTCATTTTTGATGACCCTGCTGTTCTCCTCAGACCTGAAGCTGGGCAACATCCCAGACGCCAAGCTGAGTCACAGTGAAGGTCTGGCGGGTCAGCTGGAGGTGGGGAGCATCTTCACCTTCCGTGTGACTGTCCTCCAAGCAAGCGGCGTCCCACCTGAGTACGCCGACATCTTTTGCCAGTTCAAGTGAGTCAATATTCTTCAAAAACGAGCAGCGCTGTTTACATTGCCTGAAATATTGGTTTGCGATGTTTCACGAAGCCTTCAGCTTAGGAAATCTGCAACAGCATTACATGTTTGTGTACAAATTTAATTAATTGAATCACTCTGACTTGTGTTCACGTTTTGCTTCAGTTTTCTCCATCGCCACGACGAGGCTTTCTCCACCGAGCCGCTGAAGAACACCGGCAAAGGAGCTCCGCTGGGTTTCTACCATGTCCAGAATGTGAGTACAGACACGTGGACGTCATTCCTTAAATCCAAACTGTTCCTTCTGACCAGAAACTAATTTTTTTTTTTTGTTTTCTTCTTTCCTTTGCAGGTTTCAGTGGAGGTCACAGAGTCTTTTATTGAGTACATTAAGAGCAAGCCCATCGTGTTCGAGGTGTTCGGCCACTATCAGCAGCACCCGCTGCACATCCACGGCCAGGACCTGATCAGGTTGGTAGCTTTTAAAAAATAACTTCTATAGAAATGTAGAATACAGTGCCTTCAAAAGTATCTTTATCTTTTTCCTCATGTTGTCGCATAAGAACAGCAAACTTCTGATTTGTTTGCATTTTAGATGGAAGAGCAACACATAGTGATTAACTCTTGTGCAAATGGAGGAAAAGAAAACATAATTTTTTAAATGATTTTACAGATAAAATTCTGAAAAGTTTGCCATACATTTGAATTTTGAACCTCTTGTTATTCTGATATCCTGAAACAAAATGTCTTTAAAAATCACTTTAAGGGAGAAAATATATCCCTCAGTGCTTGCAGCAAAATGTGGTTTACAAATTATTCACACAAGGAACTATTTTCTGATGGCCTAATATATTAAATCCAAATATAAATGTGTGACTTAAATGTAACAAAATCTGGAAATGTTCATGGGTTAAGGTAAAAGTTCTTCATTGAAGACACGTTTTTCACTAAAATACATATGTCCTCTCTTCCTCTTTTTAACAGTCCTCCGACACCGTCACGGAAATACTACCCTATCCCCATGCCTCTGTCCAAACCAGGTAACAAATCATCACACAATACCGCGATATAGTGAAATGTTCCCATAACATGTCCCCATAACTTTGACTTCGTTATGTAACCATACGTCACATGTCCTTTTTTCATTTCTCGCTTCCTTTGGATCCCTTTTTGTCTTATTGAATCATTTTTCTACAATCTCTATAATCCTCTTACCCAACTCTGTCTGCCTTGTTTTTCCCCTCACTCTTCATTTTTTTTCTCCACACATGTATTTACCCATCTTTTCTGCCGTTCACACACGGCAACACACGTACACACACACCACCCATCCAGACCACACCCGTAAGATCGAGTTGATCCGCTACCTCGTGAGCGGCTATGTTAACGGCAAAGTGCTGGACACGTTATCCGAGCACGCCAACGCCCTCGCCTCCTCCGCCGTGGCCAGCCTGGAGGACGAGGCTGACCAGCTCTCACACTTCCCCTTCCTCTCAGCGCTCCACGACCCCGTGTTCACTGTGCCTAAGCACCACGGTTGGTACACAGGTAGCGGTTGAGGCATTAGATGCCCCCCCCCACTAGATGCTGTTTTGTGACTAGACTAGCGCTTTGTTATCGTGCTGCTCTGTGCCTGCAGGTGCATATTGGAGCACTGCAATGATAGCTGCAGACACGTTTGGGTCCCGACGGCTCAGCTCAAACCTCCCCTGGCTGCTTAGACTGACCAGAGCTCCTACCTTCCAGTAGATGTAAATTTAAATTGCATCCCAAGTTATGAAGCGAAAATTTATCGCAAAACACAGTTGATTAGACTACAGAGGGCAGTTGAATAGTTTCAAGCTATGTATAACAGAATCGATTGTGCAAACGAGAGATTAGCTGGTTTCATCAGCAGCATAATCCTGCTGATGTGTCAGACAGCAGGGAGCGGTCAGTATTGTAATCTGTTATTTAACTCCTCACGCTGTCTCCACCTTTCAGTCAGTAAAACACATCAATAAAAGGAAGAACAATGATATGTGGGTTTTCAAAAAAGAAAAAGCTGTTTCTAATCAAAATCTGAAAGGTGGCATGCATTTCTACTTGGACATACATGCCACACTTGAAAACAGAAGTTTTTTCCCATTCTTCTTTGTAAGGAATCTCAGGCTCCAGATTAGATGAATGGCGTCTGTGATGATCTCTTGCCACAGACTCTCAATTGGATTTTAGGTCTGGACTTTGACTTGGCCGACGTTGCACATCAGTACACTTTGATCTATAGATTGTAGCTTGGATGCATGTTGAGGCTCAAATAGTTTCGACCTCTTTTTTTGAGGAATGGCACGCAGTCTGAACAGGGCGCCCATAGCATGATGCTGCCACCTCTGCTTTACTGTGGGGTTTATTTGGGTTCAGGGTGATTTACCAGCTTCTTTGTCCCTGACCTGTTGGCTGTGTGCCTTAGTCTTCATGAAGCTGTTTGTTTCTGAGGGTTTGAGGGTTTGTTTCTGAGGGTAAAATGAATTCATTGCATGAATTCATTGCACTAACAATCATCTGGATTAGATTGCAAGGGACTTTCTTTGCTAGTTATAGTTTTCATATTTTCATTTGTTAAAATTTGTCTTTGCTTTATTGTTTTCTATCACAATGTCAGAATAAAACAATTGCTAGCTGACTCTTAGCTTGTATCAGCTAAGAATTTAAAATACTTAGCTGATGGGTGTTTGTGTTTTGTTTTTGTTTGTTTGTTTTTTTGATAGTTCCGGCCACCAAGCTGAACACCATCACCAAGTCGAACCTGGGTCAGTGTGTCAGCAAGTACGACCTGCTTGTCTGGTTCGAGATAAGCGAGCTGGAGCCGACCGGAGAGTGAGTGTGTCTCTTTGCACCTTTCCCAGAGGGATGAATCCAGCCTCTAAAATTGCATCAAACTCTTATCGATAAAGTCTAACCTGGGTTTGTCCACACACAGGTACATCCCGGCGATAGTGGATCACAGTGCCGGATTGCCTTGCCATGGCACCTACCTTCTGCACCAGGTAAGGGCAGAACATTTTCTACTCCCCAAAACTTAGAAGATAAAGACGAGTCTGTCTATGGTGATACTCATGTATAAGTTGTTTCTGTTGCCGTGGTTTTTAAGCTGTAATCTTGATCTCCTTTCATGTTTTCTGCAGGGGATCCAGCGAAGGATCACAGTGACTCTTATTCACGAGAAGGGCAGCGAGCTACACTGGAAGGATGTCCGTGAGCTGGTTGTAGGTGAGCCACCTGTCCGTGAGCGTCACTTGACCTAATGGAAACTAGACAGCAACATGGGATAAAAAACGTTAGGATAAACCCTTTAGCAGAGGCTTTACTGTGAATATACTACACACCCCTCTGGGAAGGAAGAGAGGCTTCTGTTTTGCTTCTCATTCTAAGCTTTTTATACACTGCAGCTGCCACAGATGGGCCAAATAATTACATTTCACATTTTTCAGCCTCTGGACTCTGTCCAGATGTTTGTAGAGTGTGTGTGTGTGTGGTTTTTCTTTTTCTTGCTCACCAGAAGAAATCTCAGCGACCGCATTGACGCATCATGCCGTTGTATTCTCCATCAGGTCGCATCAGGAACAAGGCCGAGGTGGACGACAGCGCAGCCGACGCCGTCCTGTCCCTGAACATCATTTCTGCCAAGAATATCAAGTCATCCCACAACACCAACAGGTATGTGAACTGAACTCTGAGAGTTACTTTGGCTCTGATGAACTCTAAACCTGACAAGGGGATAGATCCATCTGTTTGTTGTTGGGTAGGCTTTTCATGTTTTGGTGTTTAAATATGTGAAAATGTTCTTGTCTTTATAGTTTCTGAGGGTAAAATGAATTCATTGCATGAGCTTTCTGTTGTTTTTTTTTATTTTATTTAAGGGCTTTATTGTTTCTGTTGCCTGACTCTTTCTGCTTCTCTTTTTATTCTGTGCACTCTTTCCTCCTGCTGCTGCTGGACTCTTGATTGTCCTCAGGCTTTCTATTGATAAGGATATTGATAGGTACCATTCATCAGAGAGCATAAGGCCTTCAATGAAGGACATTTATGTCTCTCTTTTAGAACCTGTAGACTCTTAGAAATAAGTTTAATAGATTTTTGGTTCCTAAGCCCCTTCCCTGCTTGTTGCATAAGGTATATCTTTGTTTCCATTACCATTCATTTCCTAAAAATCTCAGCTGAAAATGTTGATGGACAAAGGTAATCTAAATGCAAACGCACCCTTATCAGTACTACTTTTATACCTTTGTAAGTTTGTGACTTTAGTATAAAAAAAGTTGTGAGCTGACCTACTGTGGCCTCAATTTGATTCTTTTCTTGATTTGTTTTGTTAACTACCCTAAAATTCAGTAAGGTCACTGTCTGTGGGTAAATGCTGCCCTGCTGGTAGATGACGATAAAAGGGAACTGATTTTTACAAGGAATACATAGTAATATATTCAAAAAGGTAGCTTTTCTTTTAGTTGCATCATGCTGAACTTTATTCTCAGTATGTTCCAGCTCCTACTTTGTGTCTTGTCTTGTCTTTGTGTCTTCTCTGTGTTTGTACTCGCATCCTGTCACGGTGAAAGTGTGAGAAAGTTTTGTTTTCAGCCATTTAGACCTGTGCACATCCACACACCAGTTCTTTAGCCAAATCACAATGAGAAACACAACAGCAGTGTTGTTTCAAGTGCAATTTCCCAAAGCTCAACTCCTGTTGCTTTCCTCTGTTTTTTTTTCCTTCAGAACATTCTATCGTTTTGAAGCTGTGTGGGACAGCTCACTGCACAACTCCCTGTTGCTGAACCGAGTCACTCCGTATGGAGAGAAGATCTACATGACTCTGTCTGCATATCTGGAGGTTTGTCTTTCCGCTCTGTCTCACAGCGATCTCGCTGCGTCTCGGATGCTGGCTCACTCACACTCTGCTTTCAGCTGGACCACTGCATCCAGCCCGCCATCATCACTAAAGACATCTGCATGGTGTTCTACTCCCGGGACGCTAAGATCTCCCCACCCCGTTCTCTCAGGAACCTCTTTGGGAGTGGGTACTCCAAAACTCCTGACTGGTAAGCCAGTAGGTTGATGCACTTTGGTGCATCTATTAATAATAATAATAATAAAGATGTATAACACTCCAATAAAAAAAGGTCAATCTGAGTTTTGAGGTTCTGTTTTATTGTACAACTTTAGCCTGCTGATTACAATTTTGCTTTTAGACCGGGAGTGTAAAACATGTCATTAGTGCCTCATAGAATAAATGAAATGATCGGCTGTAGTAATTGTAATTTGTGATATCTTTGTGTTTGTTCGGCTGAGAATATGGACACTTCTCAGAGATTTACAGATGGCAACAAATATTTCCACATTTCCATTAGTGAGGGAAAATGTTGCTGTAAAACATTCAGTATTTCTGTTATCCCCTGGTCAGAAACTTAAAAGTAGTTTTAACAAACGGCATGAAAACAGCTTCTTATGGCTTTAAATCTTCTTATATATTAATTATTACTTCTCTGGTACTTTGAATAGCTAACATTAAGACTTCTCTGTGGGGTAATAACTGCCACTTTGATAAGTGGTTGCATTTAGGTATGGGGTGTTCACTGACCATAAGTAGATTGTATTCTTTTGGTTTTTGACCAAATAATCATGTCAGGTCTGTTCAAGCTGAATTCAATCTCCAATTATTACCATACTTCATACTCTTTTGGCAGAATTTTTCATTTAAATAATTTATTTTTTTGCTGCTTTGTTACAGCAATCGCGTCACCGGCATCTATGAGCTCAGCCTGTGCAAGATGTCTGACACCGGAAGCCCTGGTAAACAAGGAGAAAATCATTTAAAGAAAAATCTGAAGAGTTTTTTACCTTTTGTGTTGACAAGCCGGGTTCTCCTGCGCAGGGATGCAGCGGAGGAGGAGGAAGGTTCTGGATACTTCAGTGGCCTACGTGCGAGGGGAGGAGAACCTGGCCGGATGGAGGCCCAGAGGGGACAGTTTGATCCTGGAGCACCAGTGGGAGCTGGAGAAACTCGAGCAGCTGCACGAGGTGGGAATTTGGAACTCAGGTTTCACATTCTCATGTTAAAACATATGCTTTAAATCATTTTTAAATTACTCACAGGAAGGTTGGATGCTAAACTCTTATGAACCAGTTGGTCAAAAAAAAAAAAAAAAAAACACCGGTAGGATTATGTTGACCCTATGTGAAAGACAGAACAAAGTGTAAAAGTGAAATGCCCCTCAAATTTAGCTGGGCAATAAATTGTCCCAGTAATTATTGCACAATAATGTGTCAGAGCAATGTTTTGAGTCAATTTTCAAGTTGATTAATTGATAATTGCATAACATTGTAACTTCAAAGATCAAGTAACTTTAATTTTGTAAAGAGCACTTATCATTTGGAGTGCACCTATTGCAGTTTTTCTTATGGTCGCTGATGACCAATCTTTAAAAGGAATAGTGATTTTTAAATTTTTTTCTGAAATGTTGCTAAATATAGCAAACGTGCAGACATAAGCGTGGGTCTGTCAGTTAAACCTCTGTCATAGCAGAGCAAAAGAGGGCAGTGGCTGATTTTGAGACTTTTTGCCAAAGTAGATAAAATGGGTGGATGTGATCAGTTCCACATGCAAGTATCGAATGATCACGGATCTCCCAAAATTAAGGAAATCGGGGTCGATTTATCGGTGCACCCCTACTTAACACTGCAACTGGAAGACATTTTAAATATCCAAGATAAAACACAACAACGAAAAACAAAACACAAAACTGAAATAACAACCTATATACAAGCAAAGCCATAAATGAAATTAATTATGAAGTTTGCCCTTCAAAAAAATATTAATCATCACAATGGAAGTTACCAAGCTCAGTTTAATTTATCATGTGATTAATTGCTTATTGTGACAGGCTTAGTTCTCTTTCTCTGTCATGTTGTTTTGCTGCTGTGAAAACAAATAACTCCTGATGATGTATAAACAAAAGAAACGCAACTTGTACCTCCCGTCAGGTGGAGAAGACCCGTCACCTCCTCCTGCTGAGGGAGAAGCTGGTAGAGGTGCCTCCTGTGGGAACGACTACCATCACCAAGTCCCTAAGCGAGTCTCTGTCCCCCAGTATGAGCTCGGGGACCCTGTCCACTTCCACCTCCATCTCCTCGCAGATCTCCAGCGCCACCTGCGAAAGTGCCATCACGCCCAGCGAGAGCAGCGGCTACGACTCGGCGGACATTGAGAGCCTGGTGGACCGCGAGAAGGAGCTCGCCTCCAAGGTGAGGAGAAATCCCACATGGCCAGACACACGCCGGTGATTTCTGAGCTTCCTGGAACTGACAGATGTTGTGTTGCAGTGTCTGCGCCTGCTGACGCACACCTTCAACAGCGAATACAGCCAGGTGGTGAACAGCATCAGCGACTGCAAGGTGAGAAGCGATTCAGATGTTTTCCTCGCTCCGATCACGTTTGAACGGGTAAACGTGCGTAACGCTTTGCCTTTCTCTCCAGCTGTCTGACATCTCGCCCATCGGACGAGATCCATCGGTGACCAGCTTAAGCAGCGCCACCCTCACGCCCTCCTCCACGTGCCCCTCCCTGGCTGACTCCCGCTGCAGCTCCTTAGACCAAAAGTAATAATGTTCTCCTGACATTGATGCATTATTGGCCACTGGGGATGTGTATATCAGCTGTTTTGATATTTTTTTCAGCTAGTTTTAACATTTACGAAATAAATGTAAACAAAAACTATACACAGTTTGCATTTAAGATACAAAAAGAAAGCCTTTTGTCTGTTATTGTGTTATACTCTAAAACTTTCAAGTAGCATATTTTTAGCTTCACCTGGTTCAAATTCTATTAAAAGAAAATCTTTTATTTTATCTTTTATCAGCACATTTTGCTATCTGATTATAAATCAGTTAATCCCCCCAAAAAAATCAACACATTAGCCTTATTAAATGAAGCAGAAACTGCTGGACTTATCACGTTCTTATGTTAAAATAAACACCAAAATGAAAACAAAAAAACAGTATGCGATGTATTCCATTTTATTCCATTTTAGCTTCTTTATTCTTCTTACTTAAAAAATGAACTGAATTATTTGTTTATTTCCATCTTTTAGTGTATTTTTAATAATGTATAAAAAAGGTTTACATTAAAAATTGTCAGAATATTTTTTTTTATCTACACTATATTTAAATGTCAGAATAATTGATACAAAAGATTTACTAAAAAAAAAGCAAGTTTGGTTGTACAACAAAATCATATAAAACAATCTGTCTACATGAAGGAAGTCGCAAGCCATTGTTCACAACATAATGCACATTTAAATCATATGGTGGATAATTTTGACATTAACTTGGCTTTCTGTCTTAAAGGACCCCAGAGAACAACTCCCGTGCCTCCAGTCCCTCCTGCTCGGACTATGAGAACTTCCCAATGGTTCCCACTCTGGAGATGTCCTACCTTGCTCGAGCTGGAAAGAACGAGTTCTTAAACTTGGTGCCTGATATTGAGGAAATGAGGCCGGGGTTAGTAATAAATGATGGCGGCTCATCTGAATTGTCTGACCTGCATTAGTTGTGCAGTAAAATAGTTATTACAGCTGCAAGGCAAACATGTACAGTTAGGGCCAGAAATATTTGGACAGTGACACAGGTTTTGTTATTTTAGCTGTTGACAAAAATATGTTCAGAAATACAATTTATATATAGTATGGGCTGAAAGTGCACACTCCCAGCTGCAATATGAGAGTTTCCACATCCAAATCGGAGAAAGGGTTTAGGAATCATAGCTCTGTAATGCAGAGCCTCCTCTTTTTCAAGGGACCAAAAGTAATTGGACAATGGACTCCAAAGGCTGCAAGTAACTCAAAAGGCCTTTCCCTCGTTAACCTGTAATCAAGTAAGTAGTTAAAAGGTCTGGGGTTGTTTCCAGGTGTGTGGTTTTGTATTTGGTAGCTGTTGCTGTGACCAGACAACATGCGGTCAAAGGAACTCTCAATTGACGTGAAGCAGAACATCCTGAGGCTGAAAAAAAGAAAAAATCCAGCACAGAGATAGCAGACATGCTTGGAGTAGCAAATCAACAGTCTGGTACTTCTGAGGAAAAAGGAATTGACTGGTGAGTTGGGAACTCAAAAAGGCCTGGGCGTCCACGGAAGACAACAGTGGTGGATGATCGCCGCATACTTCTTTGGTGAAGAAGGACCCGTTCACAACATCAACTGAGGTCCAGAACACTCTCAGGGAAGTAGGTGTATCTGTCTCTAAGTCAACAGTAAAGAGAAGACTCCATGAAAGCAAATACAAAGGGTTCACATGTAGATGCAAACCATTCATCAATTCCAAAAATAGACAGGCCAGAGTTAAATTTGCCCAAAAACACCTCAAGAAGCCAGCCCAGTTCTGGAAAAGTATTCTATGGACAGATGAGACAAAGATCAACCTGTACCAGAATGATGGGAAGAAAAAAAGTTTGGAGAAGAAAGGGAACGGCACATGATCCAAGGCACACCACATCCTCTGTAAAACATGGTGGAGGCAACGTGATGGCATGGGCATGCATGGCTTTCAATGGCACTGGTCACTTGTGCTTATGATGACATAACAGCAGACAAGAGTAGCCGGATGAATTCTGAAGTGTACCGGGATATACTGTCAGCCAGATTCAGCCAAATGCTGCAAAGTTGATTGGACGGCGCTTCACAGTACAGATGGGATAATGACCCCAAGCATACAGCCAAAGCTACCCAGGAGTTCATGAGAGCAAAAAGGTGGAATATTCTGCAATGCCAAGTCAATCACCAGATCTCAACCCAATTGAGCATGCATTTCACTTGCTCAAATCCAGACTTCAGACGGAAAGACCCACTAACAAGCAAGACCTGAAGGCTGCGGCTGTAAAGGCCTGGGAAAGCATTAAGAAAGAGGAAACCCAGCGTTTGGTGATGTCCATGGGTTCCAGACTTAAGGCAGTGATTGCCTCCAAAGGATTCACAACAAAATATTGAGAAAAAACTTTTTTGTTTGGGTTATGTTTATATGTCCAATTACTTTTGAGCTCCTAAAATGTGGAGTGTTTGTAAACAAATGTGTACAATTCCTACATTTTCTATCAGATATTTTTGTTCAACCCTTTAAATTAAACGTTACAATCTGCACTTGAATCTGTTGTAGAGGTTTCATTTCAAAATCTAATGCGGTGGCATGCAGAGCCCAACTCACAAATTGTTACTGTCCAAATATTTCTGGCCCTAACTGTATGTGTCCATCCTGGATGATGTCAAAGGATCAGATAATTCGGAAAACAAAGTAACAAGGTCGTTTGAAATACATATACATATACGCTTCATTTCAGGTCTGTGGTGTCTAAGAAAGGTTTCCTCAGCTTCATGGAGCCGCGCTCCAACACGTGGGTGAAGCACTTTGTGGTCGTTCGCCGCCCATATGTCTTCATCTACAACAGCGACAAGGATCCAGTGGAGCGAGGCGTTCTCAACCTCTCCACAGCCCAGGTGGAATACAGTGAAGACCAGCAGGCCATGCTCAAGGTGCTCGTCTGTTTTGGCTTCTTTAAATCAGAAGTTTATATGCAGTCGTAGTAAGTGTAAATGTCATATTGACCTTGGGTTTTCATTAATGTGTTTGAGCTGCTGCCTTTTCCAGGGTGGATTGATTATGCAACATACAGCTTCAGTCATTTTTATGAATTAGAACCTTACTTTATTGCGGCTTTTCATCAATCGAGACCTCGTATCAGAATAAGTGTCCCTCTGTGGGAGGCAGAGAAACCTGATGCTTTGACTTTAGGCCTCTTCCTTTGGCAGGATTGGTTCATAAAACATCCTGAAGCTTAATGCTACTTCAGTTTGCCTGAACTGTGACCCTCAAATGTAAGACAAGTGATGTTCAGGAACAGCTCAGGAATATTCTGGAACACGGGTGTCGCCAGCGGTGAGCTTAGCGTCACATCAACATGGACTGAGAAGAACCCAGATAGAAAGAATTCTGGAACCGTCTTGATCAAAACCAAGCAGGATCTTTGCCAGAAAGCCCACCGACTCAAAGACGATCCGCTAGTTCTGATAAGAGTGATCAAATGTCCAGGCAGAATTATACTATGAGCTTTTTGGTGGCGCCTAAAGAGGAGAGTACTCTCTCAACTTTTCTTTCATTCAGTGCATATCGGTTCACCCACTTCTTTTGGAAAATCATTGGCTTAAATCTAATTATTTAGTCCCTCCACCTCGGAAAAGTAACTTTTCCAGTCAGTCTGATAAAGCTGTGCCTCATGATGAATATTTGATGTTTGCAGACTCCCAACACGTTTGCGGTGTGCACAAAGCATCGAGGAATCCTTCTGCAGGCCAACAATGAGAAAGATATGAACGACTGGCTGTACGCCTTTAACCCTCTGCTGGCAGGGACGATAAGGTACTTTTACGCTTTACATATGCCGTCTTGAGCTCCTCTGGAATGAATGTACCTTTGCCTCACCGCAACATGTCGCCCCCTCAGATCGAAGCTGGCGAGGAGGCGCAGCGGCCTGACGAAGAACTGAGCGGAGCCGAGGAACCCCCGCGGCTCTCGCTCTCTCTGAGCAGCCTTTGATCAAACAAAGTGTTAACACTTATTAATTATTGTGAGTCTTAAAGGTTTCCTCTTGTAAGTAGACTTGTGGCTTAAGTCTCTACTTTTCATGCGACTAAACGTTTCAGCTCCGTTGAACTTTGCCTCTCCCCGGCCCATCCCCTCCTGTCCCTACGGCACCCCGAGCTCTTCTTCTTCTTCTCCTCCCCCCCCTCGGCTTTTGTCTTTTAAATTTTTACGACCGGTCTGATTTCTTTCCGCTTTGTCGTTATTCCTGAACTTCCTGACTTGTAGCATGTCGTAGTAGTCTACTTGTGTGTGCACGGCTCTCCAAAAAATTCAATTTTCAGTTTCCCAATCATCTGTAAAAAACAAAAAAAACAAAAAAACAAACAAAAAAAACGTCTTATCAGTGTTATTTGTTTCCCAAAATAAGTTTGATTTAACTTCTTGCTTTTTGGTTTTTGATAACGTGCTCGGATAAGAAGTGCAGCAGCAGTCCCCAGGAGAACACCAGGTTTGCTCCCTGAAAACAACTCAAATTGCAAAAAAAAAAAAAAATAGTTAAAAATCTGCAAATATATCAAAGCAATCTCTTAGTTATGCTCTATTACTTACTATTAGTATTGCTTTAATATTTTTTATTGTTAGCTAGGAGAAAATTGCGAAGAGAAACTTAAAATTACAAGCGAAATTCTGTCGAGCTCAGCACCGAATCATCCGTGATGCTTGGACCCCGCCTCTCAGCCACTGTACATACGTACGCCAACTCCCAGGTAGTGCCAGTTTCAGTCCCAGCATTTGTGTAAACATAAAAAAACAAACAAAAAAACTTGCTTACTGGATAAAAAGAAGCAAAAATGTACAACTCCTGCAGGAGTACTTATTTTTCCGTTTGGTGTTCCACCGCAAGAAGGAGGTGAGAGGGGGAGGTACGGGAGAGAAGTAAAAGAGAGAGAATAGCTCATTGCTTAAAACACTACAATACTCATATCCCATGATAAGCTGTTCTTTCTGCTTCTACAGCTGATATAAACCCAACTTTGTTACCCCACTGTCACATGTGTGAAACTAAAGACGCGATTAGAGGTGAAGAAGTTGCTGGGTTGTGAGAGTAAGAGGTGATGAAGCTTCTCAGGCACAGCCCGAGCAGGAGGAGGAGGATGATGAAACGTTCCCCTCGTTGGGCAAAACCTCTAAAATGAAGTTTTGCCCATTTCAGCATCGACAAACATGACCACTTCTTCATTTTCCGTTCAGCTTCCTGAATTGAAACTTCTCCAACCCATATAACCTTTTTTTTCCCCTTCTCTTTTAAATAATTTTCATTTCTCAAAGTTTTTTTATTTTGTTATTTGATATGTAAAAAAGGGCATTTACTTTTTTTTTTTTAACCAGCATTTACTGGTGTTGCACTTTTTGTTGTTGCACATAAACTCGCATCTATAGCAAGGTCAGGTAATGCAGGATTGTATCCGAGCTTCAGGAACTAGAACGAGAGCACATCAAAGCTACACTGGATGAAAAGATGAAAGGGACGACATGGAGAAAGGGTTTTTTTGTTGTTGTTGTTGGTGAGGATGTTTGCTTGGTGCCTCTGTCTCTGTGCAGAAGGGCGTAGTTAAACTCTGGCCTACCAACCAGCAGTTCGCTCGCAGTCTCACCTGACACGAGCAGAAACAGAGGTGCCTGCGATAAGTTAATCTCCGATCACAGGTCAGGAAACCTGATGGTCAGGGAGTGCTTAAAGAACTCATCTTAGGATGTAAACTGTGCATCTATGCATTCAGTAGGAGATGATGTGGGGGAGTGCTGCTTTTTCATGTGGAAGAACATCAGAGCAAACATTTTCACCCCAGTGGGTGATTTTCAGAAGTATATTATCATGGATTATGTGTTTATCGTTTTTAAAAAGATGTACATATTTCTTTGCAGCTCTTTGCACATATTAATAAAAGGCTCAACTAACTGATCAAGTGAAGTCTGTGCGGTTTAGTTGTTCTACTCTTAGTGAACCAAATGAAGATTTGGCAGCCTGAACTGAGAGAGAGAGAGAGAGTTGAATGTAGGATTTAGGGTGTTTGGTTTTTGTCGTTTTCCACCATTTCTTTAAAAGGGACCTAAGATGTGACTCACTGCACCCTTTTTTCTTTTTTTTTTCATGGAGGCGAGTTACATTAGTGCTTCCTCTTTACCAGAAAGCGTTTCATTAGTCTGCTTTCGTCTTTTGAAGAGATATGTGCTAACGACGCACGGTGGCCAGGTGTCTGAAGTCTTAATAAAAGGTGATTTATATTAGTTTATCTTATCTAATATCAGGGAAAATAACACATCATAGCTATAGACTAAAATTATGATAGAACTCTTTTAATGTGACTTTTTTTTTTTCTTTTTTCCGTTGATGCCTTTCAAACAAAACTAGTCCTGATATCTCCATCAGCCCCCCTCTGACAGTATCTTTGGGATTCGTGCATTAAGAAGAATAAAAGGACAAGACCTGAACATTTTACCGCTGTACATTATTCGTCAGACTGGTTTCATTTTCATACTTATTTTGTAAATATCTATGTTGTACGGAGCTTGAACTAAACTGTAAATATGTTTACTGTATTTGTAATAATTATAATCCATCCGCTGTATAGCATAGATGTGTCATGCAGATATCCTAACTCTGTGTATGGTAATCTTGCACAACTGAATTGTTTAGTGAATGAGGCAACAATAAAAAAGAGAAAATTGCAAACTGCATTAGCAGAATGTGTGATGCCTGCTTTGTTTTTTGTCTCTCTCTCTTTTTCAAGTTAAGTTTATTTTGTCAAATGCCATCATCAAAACGAAGAAAACATTTTCGTCTTTTATTTTTACTTGTATGAACAGTTAAAGTGACATTTATTGTTTTTTTTAAGTTTCTTTTTAAGTTAGTTTCAGTCAAGAGTTTAGAAATTAATGGAATTGTTTAATCACATAAAATTAAAACTTGAGCTGAGAGGCCGCCTTTCATTTTTTTTATTGAAGTTATAATAAAGAAATTTTGATTCTTTATTAGTATTTTGAACAGGCGCACTTTAGCCACGCCGTAAAGCTTCAATGTGGGCGTAACCACTGCCATAGGGTGCCACGTGATTGAGCACCGAACCAGCCAATAGGAGGCGGGACACCTCTGGTCAGCGATGTGGACCAACGAGAATTCTCGGCCTATGTGCGTTGTGTCATCTAGGCGGCCTCTGATTGGTGGATGCTGTACGTGGGTGTACTTAATCTGTTGAATAGCGTTTGGAGAGGGGGAAGGAGGAAGCAAGCGCCGAGAGAGGAGAACCCGAGGAGAAGCAGCTCGACTCTCATTTTACCTCGTCTTACCTTTCAGCTACTTTACCCGAGGAAAATCATGGCTCAGTAAGTTTTCTGAATACGCTGTAATTATTTCTGCAGTGGCACAGCGATTGATTGGCTGTTATACTTTAGATTCAGCAGTTCATTAGCCTGCTTTTAAAAGGGGTTATCTTCTCCGTTGCAAAGTTTTAGTCGTTTTCTTGCCGGAAAAACTCTCGGCATAAGTACAAATAAATATTTTAAATGACGTTTAACATGTAGAACTACACGGATTAGTGACTCAGTAATCACATTGTACTCTGGGAATTGAAGTAATATTGGACTCTGATCTTTAGGCCCTTTATTTTAGTAAAAGAGCCAGGAAACGCATACCACAGTGATGTAAACGTTTTTTAGTACTCCAGTCTGGTGCCAATCTGCCATCAGGTCCTTACTGCATATATTATAAGACTCCTCTTGATTTCAGAGCAGACATTGCACTGATTGGGTTGGCTGTCATGGGCCAGAACCTCATCATGAACATGAACGACCACGGCTTTGTGGTAAGACCCTGGCTTTCCTTTATTTATATTTCTCGTTGATGCATCACGTTCTGCTGTTGTTGTGGGGGTTTCTTTTCTCCTCAGTATGAGCAACATCTCTGCTCTGCAGGTCTGCGCTTACAACAGAACCGTCTCCAAGGTGCACGACTTTCTGCAGAACGAGGCAAAGGGCTCGAAGGTGGTCGGAGCCGAGTCTCTGGAGGACATGGTGTCCAAGCTGAAGAAGCCCAGGAGGATCATCCTGTTGGTTAAGGCTGGACAGGCAGTGGATGACTTCATCGATAAACTGGTTGGTGTTTTTCTACCAAAATGTCAAGTGTGAAGTATTGAATTCTTAAGAATCCAATTGTATAATACCCTTGAATACACATGCAATCCTTTCTATATATTTGTACAAAGATTTAAAACAAAATTAAAGCTGCAAGCAGCCTCGAACGGCCCTCGCAGCCAAGAGCCGCTCGGCCTATTGCCACCGCGGGGTACGAGCAACCGCCGCCTCACGCCAGCCACCACAGAAGCTCTCACGCAGTTTTCAGCGCCTCCCCCCGCACCGCGGAAGCTGTTGCTCAGTTTCCATCAACGCTGCGCACGTGCTAAGACAGAAGTTGTTGCGCAGTTTCCGCGCCCGTCCACCAGGCGGTACGCATCGATGCGTTCGGCGGCGATCCTTCACGATGCAAAAAAATGTGGTATAGATTCATTGGTTTAGCGAGGAAATATAGCTGGCGCATTAATGTAGGGGGCGCAGTGTAGTCAAAATACATTTCAATGCTGTTTTGCTCTTTAGAGGTCAACAAAGGTCATACGTATCCAATTTGTCGCCAGTCCGATGATCCACGTGTCATTTAGAGCCGATCATATGCACTCCAGGGATGGAGTACCACTGCCTCCTGCTGGCGAAATACTGGTATTGCACCAGCAGTACCAGTATTTTGCCACAAGGCGCCAGTGGTACTCCATCAACACTGATCCCAGTGTCTTACTTCGCTGTCATAAGTTTTGCTGAATGACTTTCTTTGTATTATTTCTGGCAAAAATGAATGAATGTTTGTACTGTAACCCACAAAATAAACTTATATATATATAAAAAAAACTTATAATAATGTATATTTAAATAATTAATAACATAACATAACCTATGGGCTGCTGTTTTCTAGGGGGCACTAGAGAGAAATTAGGCCACGCCCACCAAATATTGTGATGGATTCCTGTCGGGGAGTTGATGGGAATCCATCCTTTTGAGTTTGGAGCAGCTGGGCCCAAAAATGTGGAATTGAGAGCCAAACGTATGGCGATGGCGTTACATATCACTTCGCCACGCCGCCACGCCCACCTGCTCCATTGTAGCTGGTCGGGGTTGAAATCCTCAATACACCAACATGTCTTCAGTGTCTGGTCACAGTTTCATGTTGATGAGGTCAAAGGGGTCAGATAGCAACCTTTCACAGTAAAACATGACACTTCCTGTTCTCAGGGGGCGTGGCCTAAGTCTTGTCATCATTTGACCATAGGGTATTGTAGGGCACCCGATGATGATCAATCACTGAAACATTGGTGCCTCTGTGAGTTTCTGTGTAGGAAATATAGCAGTTTATTTTTTTACGGCGAGTAGCTGAACTTTGACCCCTGCTAACCCCCCTTCAGCATACTCAAAAACTCACTGTTTTGATAACTTTAGATGGGACATGCCTTATGAGCAGACTGACCGAGTTTGAAGCCGATCAATCGAAATCCCTAGGAGGAGTTCGATCAAATAGGAAGGTTGTAAACGGCAAAAATGGGGTCAAAATCTGAACTTCAATCCAAAATGGCCGACTTCCTGTGGGGTTTAGACCATGGCTCCAAGAGACTTTCTTTTAAGTCCTGACATGATACACATGTGTACAAAGTTTCGTAATTGTAGGTTAAAGCATGGCTTGGGGCTGATCATTTAAAATTTTCTAGGGGGCGCTTTAGAGAAATTAGGCCACGCCCACCAAATATTGTGATGGATTCCTGTCAGGGAGTGGATGAGGGACCATCCTTGTGAGTTTGGAGCAGCTGGGCCTGAAAATGTGGAATTGAGAGCCAAACGTATGGCGATGGCGTTACAGGTCACTTCGTCACGCCGCCACGCCCACCTGCTCCATCAAAGCTGGTCGGGGTTGGAATCCTCAATACACCAACATGTCTTCAGTGTCTGGTCACAGTTTCATGTTGATGAGGTCAAAGGGGTCAGATAGCGACCCTTCTCAGTAAAACATGACACTTCCTGTTCTCAGGGGGCGTGGTCTAAGTGATGTCATCATTCGACCATAGGGTATTGTAGGGCAGCCAATGATGATTAATCACAGTAACTCTGGTGCCTCTGTGATTTTCTGTGTAGGAGATATAGCAGTTTATGTTTTTACGGCGAGTAGGTGAACTTTGACCTCTGCTAACCCCCCTTCAACATACTCAAAAACTCACCGTTTAGATAACTTTAGATGGGACATGCCTTATGAACAGACTGACCGAGTTTGAAGCTGATCAATCAAAATCCCTAGGAGGAGTTCGATCATATACGAAGGCTGTAAACGGCAAAAATGGCCTCAAAATTGGACCTTCAATCCAAAATGGCTGACTTCCTGTGATACTTGCACTATGACATTAATTGTAAATTTTGAGCGTCCTGGGGAGCTCTACAAGTGTACCAAATTTCATGTCTCTAGGATAAAGTAAGTGAATAGCAAAGGGTCCTTTGAAAATTTCTAGGTGGCGCTATTGAGCCATTTCTTGTGGGATTTTTGTGATGACCTTAAAAATCAAAATTTTTAAACAGGCTCAAGGCCTCCGCCAAGTTTGGTGAGTTTTCCAATATGACAAGGCCCCCAAAAAGCCCCCCAAAGAGGTGGGAAGAAAAATAATAATGAACAGTACAGAAACAATAGGCCTTCGCAGCGCTTAGCTGCTCGGGCCTAATAACCAACCTGAGCTCATCTTATCTAGAGAAGGAGTAATTATTCCCACTGCTGCTGAAATGGCAGAATAGACACCAGCTATATTTAAGGTCTGGAAATGAAAACTAAACAGCCAGGTTTTTCATTCTCGTAAGCAAGAGGAGAGAGTAGAAAGGTGGGGAAAGGCAGAACTGTTCATTTATGTGGCGTAGAGAGAGAGGTGATAATTTTTCATACTCATTGAATATGAAACAGCATAAACATTGACAAATTTTGGGAGTTTCATTCAAAAAAGGAATCGAGTTAAGAATATTTGTATAATTTTATTTTTTGTTGAATTTAAAACTGAAAATCTGTAGAGAAGAAATCTGAAATCATCCGCTCAGACTTCAAAAGGAAGAGAAATTCACTGTCGGCCGAGATGATTGGTGCGTCTCTATTTTAAGCTTTGGAGCATTATCACATAAGCTGTTAACGGTTATGAAATAATTTCATTTTTTTAAAAGCTTGGTATGCCTTCATCTTAAATCCACTTTGTATTCATTTCTTTCATTCTTCACAGGTTCCCCTGTTACAAGCCGGTGACATCATTATCGATGGGGGCAACTCTGAGTACAGAGACACAACTGTAAGTCACAGGCGTTTGGCAGAAACGTTTTCTTTTTTTTTTATTTCCCAGCAAAAAATGTTCAAAGTTGCTCTTGGGTTTTGGTCACACAGCGGCGGTGCAAGAGCCTGAAAGAGAAGGGCTTGCTGTTCGTTGGCAGCGGAGTGAGCGGTGGAGAGGAGGGAGCTCGCTATGGACCCTCGCTCATGCCAGGGGGACATAAGGAGGCCTGGTGGGTCCTAAAAAAATATACTGAAAGTTGCCCTTTCTTTTTTTTTTTCTCTCTCGTAGTTAAAAACGAATGTTTGCAATTAGCTAGTTAAATATAAACATTTGACGTTATTCATTTTT